TCAGTTTATTTTTAAAACATTTACTTTTGAGGTTAAATTTAATGCTAGTAGAAGGTGCATGATATGCAGCCCCACAGATGGGATTTATGTCTAAAAATTGTTGCAGCACAGCTAGTACCAGTACATACTTCCTCCTGCCTCTAAAGTCCCTCATCCAGTTCTAAAACTGTCTTCATTATTAGTGAAGTTAATTCAGTCTGTGGCACATTCAATCCTTAGCCCATTGCTGAGACTGCCAACAAATGGAGTAACCAGCATCAAGTACTGCAGTACTTTTGTAACTTCGAAAGCTTATCTCTTAGGATTAAATCACCACACCATAGGCCAAGCTCCTACCATCAGGGCCTGATTTGCCACCGACTTAAAAGGCATTCCTAACATTCAGTGTGAACCTCTATATATCAGAAAGTCAAGGCTCACATATTTCAGATGGTGGTCTCAAAACAAGTTCTTCAGACCCTGTTATTCACTCTCCCACTTGCTCTCTCAGCCTTCCTCTCACACATACTCTTCCACCTCCCCGAAAAGGAAAGCTGTTAAAGAAGAAGTATGCACTAGGTTTACTCAGTTTTCACCAGTTGGGGTTGTAGGTGCTAGATAATTCCATGATTCAAGGGGTCCAAGCTCCAGAAACAATGAGTTTTTTCTCTAGTACAGAGCAGCTGCAAGCTGATACCAGGACCTCTACTTTCTTGGTGCACAGCTGTCAGTTATTAAAGCAGCATTAGGCTTTCAGCACAGCACTTGACCTGTTGCAGCTGTTTAAAATTGACAAAGGCTTACACTGGTATAAAAAAAATTAAAAAAAAAAAAAATCACAGACTGGACATAAAACTGTCTTCCTGGCAGGCCTGAACATCTGTCTGTCATCAAAACACTATCTCCTTACCCCAAACCTATTAAGATAATAAACTGCTAGGCTGGGAATTTCTTCAAAGGTCTCAAGTGTGGAAGGACTCAAATCTCCTTCCACTGCTTGCTGGGTGTGTCGCTATCATCCTTTCCAGCACCGTCTTTTAGACAAGGACAGAGAGCAAAAGCTACACAAATATTCTCTTAGTTTTGCACTCTCCAGTGGTGCCACTTAGACTGTGACAAACTGTGGAAGAATCCAGAGTAATACCTGCCAAAAGCAGTTAAAGTGCCTCTCCACCCTGCCTGTCTTCAAGAACAGCAAATAAACGGATAATTTGCTGCACCAACTTAAGTGAGGCAGGCAATGCTGGAAAAAAGTTCCAACATGGCTGTCTTGGTTACTGGTAATCTCCACTGAACTAAGAAATGAGAGGAAGAAGAAACAGAGGATGGAACACAGCACGACTCAGCAGAAAGGATGTGAAATGTAAAGGAGGAAGTATTTGTTCAAGCCATTACTAGAGACAGCCTGTATTTTATCAAAATAATCCATTTTCTCCTGATAGTCTAATCTGCTTCTACCACAATTTGAGTTCCTGATGACACATTAAAACACTTTTAATGTTTTTGAGAGGTCCCTGGTTTATTTCTATTTACTTCCGGTTCCAGACACTTCCTTTACTAGTTTTAGATCTTGTTTTCGGAACTATAATTAAAGATGCATTGAAAAAAAATTATCAAAAATTCCTGAGATCAGTGACCTACATTTATCATAAATATGTTTTATCCCCAAATTAATACATTTTATTTTTCCATTGCATCTGGCATATTTCTTCACACTTCACAGGCCTAATGGGGGCTGACTCCTTTTGTTGCCTCTTCTTGTTCAGATAACTAAGGAGGTCAATTTAGAGTTGGAGATTATAGAAGTAGCACTATTGTATCCAGCATAAGCAAGTAGGCTATAATTAGACAGAATGGCATTTTTGAGCTACAAAGTACAGCAGAGACATTGCTGAGAATGGCTGTAAAAAAAAAAAAAGACAATGAAGACTTAGAACTGGAAGTTGATGAGCATGACTAGACATAGGACAGGTCTTTTTAAGCAGTTCATCTTGTCAAGTCTGATAGGAGTCATAATTACACAGTCACCTATTTTATAACTGTTAACTAAAAAGAAGAGAAACTGCTATGTGAACCCAAGGGACAGGTACATTTGAACAAAAACTTATTTATCTATAGGTTTTCCCTCTCTGCCTGCCTTTGATTCATGACTGTACAGAACACAAATATTAAAAAGTTAACTTGCAAAACACATTTTGAGCTTGTACCATTTTTTTTTTCCTTGCCTGATAAAAGAAGCCCTGGAAGTACTCTTGTAAATAAAGAAAAAATATTAACTTTAGGAACTCGACTAATCTGAAAGACTCAATTGTCAGATACACAAAGGTTACTTCAGCAAATAATTCCTGTCGGTTTTCAGAGTTCTAACAGACAGGGTTTGGTCAACTTTCACTATTGATTAAATCTGGTGAAATTATGCTGTAAGATTCAGAAAGCAAATACTACAAGTTCTGATATTTTCCAACAGAGATTGAAAGTAGGACAGAGGGGTGAAAAAATGAGCTATGAAAAAAGGGTGGAAGAACTGAGTTTCCAGGAGGGAACTCAAGGATGTGAGAATACTTGGCATAAAGAAGAATACCCCAAAGGAAATAGTGTGAAAAATGATATAAAGGCAAGAATAGCAGGAGGAGATAAAGGTAGTAAAGAGACAGACAGGAGCCAAGTTAACAAGCGATGGGAAAGCTGATGAAGGCATGGGTAGTAAAAGACACAAAGTCAGAACTTTCTATGGAAAGAGATGGAGCTAGTGAAGTTAGGAAGATAGCACATTTAGAGCACCAGCGAACCAAAATTGTTCTTACAACTGAATACTGAACAGTAATATCAGTTAGAGTGCAAGGGTGGTAACTTGTATGCTTGAAGACTAACCCTGAATCTTCTAGCAAAGAGAATCTGAGAGGCAGAGTTTGCAAGCTACCTTGTTCTGACCATGGGTAGGTTTTATTATACATAACCTGTCCTCTGGCTACTGGCTCTTCATTTAAAAAAAAAATATCCTTCAAGTCTGACAGATCACCATTAACCCTCTGAGGCCCACTACACCCTTGGCTTTTTTAAATTAAATTGTTTGCTTACAGCAGGGCTGCCCAACTTCTTAGCAGCTGGGGGCTGCAAACTTCAGGAGCCACATGTGACAAGGGCCATGGCCTGCCTGGCACCACAGGGGCAGGCAGCTCTCCCTGTCCACCCTTATTGGTGCACCATGCATGTGGGCAGCTCCTCCCCCACCTACTTAGCAGAGGGCTCCCCTGCTTCACTGTGCTGTAGGCTCCCCCAGCACAGCTAACTGCACTGAACCATGTCCCCTTTCTCTGGGCTGCCTCTTGAGGCAAGGGAAGGAAGTGAAAGCCAGAGAATGGAGGGGGGAGTCTGGAGACACCAGCTGCAGCAGTAGCCAGAGCAATAAGGGCAGCTGAGGCCAAAGGGAGTTTGGTGACTGCAGATTAACTACTCATGGGCCACATGCAGCCTGTGGACTGCCAGCTGGACAGCTCTGTTTACAGGACAAACCTACTTTCCTTAGATAATTCTCTGAAACAATGCAATTCAGGGCATCTACAACTATTTTGACTCAGGAACTTTGTAACATACCTTAAGCCTAGTTTTATGGTACCCTGTCAGAAAGACTATGCCAGTGCTTCCGTCAGCGCTGGAAACTCAAAGCCCTTGTAATGCTGCTGACAGCAATTTTATGACTACATGTGAGGTGGGAGGTGGCATGGTTGCTATTCTAATTCCCAGTTAAGTTAAATGGAATTTTTATTCTCTTACAGAAGAGAAAATGTATGAACCATTTTTACTGCAGCAGTAGTAATTCAGTACAGTGGCAACACTCTCAGCATGTTTGGATCACTTAATACATCAGGAGGTACAGGTAGAAGATGTCCTGTGGCCATGAACTGGCATTCATTTCTAACTGTGGAAATTTCTGAAAAAAAATGTGAATGGCCCTGCTATTGTATATTACTGTAACTGGAGTGGAAGATTTTACTCACTCTCACTTTGTAAAGTTGCATCTAAACAATTTTCATAGTGGAACATGTTCCCATGACATTCCAAGCTCATGCAATCTGTCATAAAGAACAAGATCATTTACAGGACTTCACTTACTTGTCCATGAAACGAACAAATCTTAAAAAATTTGAAATGATAAAGTAGTGTATTTACTTAATTCCAAGATGAGATTCCTCCGCTCCATTTAAGATGGGGATGGGGTTCCCCTTATCTTGGAAGCAAGTATGAGACCAACAGGTGGGGAGGGAGCAGCACTTGTGGCTGCCTGCTCCCTGCTGCCTCTTCACCATGACAAGCTGCTATGGGGCCAGGCTGGAGTCATGCTCTGTGCCCCAGGCTAGACGGGGGACAGAGCCTGCCAGAGCAAGGATAAGGGGCTAAAGAAGGTGGGGACAGAGAGATAGAGAAGGGGCACATTGGGAGGGGAAAAGGGAGCCCAAGGCTGCAGGGGGGCAGGCACAAGGGGGACAAGTGAGGTGGCAGAGGCAAGCTGCCTGAGCCCCCCTACTGCTTCCACAATGCCTACCCCACTAACACCTGTCTTCCTACCACTGCTTTCCCCCCTGCAGTGGTGGTGGGCACAATTTTAAGACAACCCTGCAATAATTAGATTCTATCCATGAAAAATTATAGAAAATGTATAGATGTTCCATGTATAGAACCAATTATTGAGGGGTAGTCTTAAATTTGGGTTGTCCTGGATTTAGGAAAATATGGCAGTAACTGTTTCCTTCTGCCCACTCATTTTGCCAAGATGATTAAACCACAAATTGTATAGAAGTTTCCTGTTCACTTGGTACTCACTCACCACCCCAAACAAGTTGCTGCCCTTCCCCTTTGGGCAGCACATAACAGCAAATTGCTAGGGTTCAGTGGCCACTGCTTTTGGTGGGAGAAAAGGGGCGCTCACTTTACTGAAGTTGACAGAAACCTTGCTCTAATAAGACCTTGGACAACAGGTTTCAATAAACGTATGAGCGAAGAGAGATGTATTTGGTTCATACCTGTAACTATGCACCTCTCTCTAGGAGTTCCAGTCTTCACTCTAAAAAAACAAGGGAAAAAAAAACAACATTGAAAGTTCTGAAGCTAGAAGCAAAAATACTTGAAACATCAGCACATGAACTGTGCTCTCCTAAACAGGCATGCTACCAGCAAAAGGAAAACATGTTTCTAGTAGCAGACATCATCATGAGGTGGTCAAATTCTTCTTCATGCAACTCTGAAAGACAATGCTTATTTGCAATGTTTCTTAAAAATGCAAGAAGAAAAAGCTTCATGGAGAACACTGAAAGGACAGCAGGGCTGTAGAACAGAAATAGTTTTAATGTTGCAGCGGGGCCCTAGCAATATTGTGTTGTGTCATGCCTTCCTGGGGCTCCCAAGGCAGAAAAAGTACAGCTGTTGTCAGAACTTTGCACAATACTTGAAGTGTTTATTACCGTACTTTGACAATAGTGGTAGCAGCACAGCACACCAGGGACCTAGAGATGGAAACACTTAAACAATGTAGTGAGGATGAAAACTGACAGCAAAGCTCTGAATTAGAGCAAAACATCTGCAACATAAGTTTTTTACACCTACTGCAAATCAGGGAACATGGAGAGCTCTCCACAGCAGCCATATTTGCTGGTGTTTCACAGATAAGAGAATGCAATTCTTTTCTCAGTGGTGGTGCTAGCCCTATAACCACAGCCATCAGGGAGCAGGTCAAGCTCTAGAGACAAAAGAGCAAGGAGCACTTATGATAGGCCTAGTCTGGGGTTTTAGTGGCAGCACAACATGATGATTTGAAATTCAGGTTCCAATTTCCTTCCCTGGAGATGAGAAGGAATACTATGAGCTAAGGCAATAATTTATTTGGAGGCACCAGGGTTGACCCACAGCGCCACCTACCTTATATTTATACAAAAATTGCCCTGTGTACATTAGGATGTCAGAACATTTTAAAAAGACACACCTTTTCCCCTAATATACCTAACAGCTTTACTGAACGTTTTATGGCCTTTTGATAATACTTTCCAAAAATTATTCTCAATTACCATTTACTTTGACAATGACTGGGAGTACTACTGGACTCACCTGGAAAAAATAAAAGGCTACTCATCTGCAGCAAGGAGAATTTTGCAAGATTGTTCTAACAATCGCAACGTTTTTCCTAATACGGGTCAAACTTCACTTGTTCTGCCTTCTATTATTAGAGTGATTGATCCCTAGCTTTTACTAGCATGCCCTGTAGAATCCAAAAGACAAATTCATCGTACACTCCCGACCTTTTCTCCATAACGCAACTTTCAAGTTTTCTTAACCTTAATTCACAGAGCAACAAAAATGCTTTGAAAAATAGCCTAAGTTCCATTATGTTCAAGCCTTTTCTTAAAAATACTGAGCCCAAAGCTCAACACAACCCCCTAATCAAGGCCTGAATAACAAAGAAATAGACTTGAACATGAACAATCCCTTTATAATAGTGTCACAGGGCGGGCCCTAGGAGTGGCCGTGATCTCCCTAGAGCCCCCTACCATGCTAAGTTAACTGTTTAGCACCCTCTGTCTCGCCCGCCACGTCTTGCTGTTATACATATATCTTTAAGG